GGTTTCCATTTTCTTTTCCATTATCCCAATATAGAACCCCAATATCTATTGTTTTTAAATTTACCATTGATAGTTATTTCGGTCCCCACAGTACACCCTCCGGCTGCGCCGTCGCTAGCTCCCAGGGGTGGGTAGCTGGTTTGATGGCCATTGTCAACTCATAAGATTGCTGGGCTAGCAACTGCATGAGCGCTGGGAGCTACATGAGTGCTGAGCACAACGCTGTCCTGATCCTCACGATTTCAGGTCAGCGCCAGGCCTTACATCCTACGCATGGCTAGTAGGATGTCAAACCCTATACCCTAAACCCTAAACCGTTCAAATCAGTGGTCAGACTTTGGGACTAACAGCCTCCCAGATCCCAGCCAGACCTCCACCCCAAGTTTCCGCAAGGTGCAAGTTTCTCAGAAGGCGGGCATTTTTTCAGAGTTCGTTCCTGTCTTTGTGCGACTTTTGGCGTTCCATTCCAGCTTTCTTCATAGGTCTCTCCTCCCTGCCCTCCGGTCGTGCAACCCTGGTTCCCCTTCTATAGTAATCGGAGTGCTTGGGCGGGACGAGGGACATATGATTTTCTGGACGAGGGTGTAAAAGATTTTCGGGTGTAGGGCTGTTGAACAAGTTGCTTGGATTTGGATTGTTCATCCACGCCTCACGTAAAAGCTTGAATTGCCAAGTACTTTGTCCCAAGCAATCCTTAAGTAGCTGCTACAGCAGAATCAAATACAATGCGCCCCAAAGCCTCGAAATCCTAAAGCCAAAACCACTGAACCCTAAACTCTCTTCTTTTGAGTCCAGCCACTACGTTACAAGCTTCTTCCAGCCTATGTTGGAAGAAGCTAAATCTCCTGCCCTAATAACCCCCTTCTTCCCCTAAGGCAAGCACCCCCATCCCACAAATGATTGCATTGGAAGCATTTATTTCTAGGGGGTTCCGGGCTTTTCAGGGCAGGGGAGTGTTCCTTCTTGTAGGAATGTGGGCTTCCTGTAACATTTATTGGGATCTATATTGTGCCCCCTATGCATGGAAACCTCCGATTCTGGTGTCGGAACTCCAGCAGGAACAATTTATGAGAGTTAGAGTGAGATGTGTAGAGGTCTTTTGGTGCGTGTAGGAGCTTCAGTCCCTCAACATCAACTCAGGCTTTGCCACGCTGGTTGCCGCAGATTATGAAGTAGAAAAGACCCGGATCGTTTCCTACGTGTTCAACTTCTCTCAGTTGTGTTGCTAAAGCTGCCAGCATGGCATTTGAGGCTGCCTTATACCCAGATGCCTTACAAAGACCTCCCAATACTCAGTAATATTAGCCTATGTATCCGTTATTGTGGACTAGAAGCTCGTTATCTGGGAGGTGTAGACAGAATTGGGGGTGAGGGCGCCTTGAAACTTATTGGAACTAGATGGGATTTACGTGTAATTGTAGAGCTGACCCTAGGACGCCTGTAGTGAGTCCGGACACAGCCCCTGACGCTACATCTCAAACGGGACACAGAAAATTCAAGGCCTTTCTAAATAGTGGTTTAGAGTTATCGTCCCCCGTAAGTAGATGGAATATGGCTCTGGGTATATTATAAGATCCCCATATACCCCATATTCTATCTACTTGAGGGGGAGTATAATAGGGGAAGCTCAGAAGCCTAGCTTGGACTCAACCCCCATGCCACGTTCATTGGGTCATCTTCTTCTGCTCTTGCTTGGGGTTTAGGGTTTGGGGTTTAGGGTTTTAGGCTCTTGCAGATTGTGCAGAAGTTTTGCTTGGTGCAGTGTAGAACTCATTCAGCAGCATCGATGCTAGCCATTGCGCATGTTCGATTTTCGATAGCAGCCGTGAAAGATGGACCCAATTGCCCCTGAACTTTTTCTTTGACGCCATTCTTTGTCCATTCAAATATTTTTGTTTTGTTAGCTGAGCCTGATCCATGTTCTACATCTCGAACGGGCCACAGTGTATACAGAGAAATTCAGCCATGACTGCGTGAGCAATGGTTTGCAGACGCTTGCTGGCATGCTTCCTCGCCATTTCTTGCGCCAAGAAGCGTCTGGATGATGGCTTCAAGATCCTGGTGCTTAGGGTTTAGGGGTTAGGATTTTAGGGTTTAGGGATTTAGGGTTTAGGGTTTTGTTCAATCTGGGAACATGTCAGAGTTGAATGGCAGATATGCATCTTTTGGGGCCTTGAATATCACAAGAAACCAACTGTTGTGACTTGCTAGAAACAGTAGCAGTGACATCCTTTGTTGGGGCTCTTGACCGGAAGCAGAGTTTTCACATGCATCTACAAGCTGCTCAGGATAACAAACAAAGTTTTCTGCTTGCCAAATCCTGACACTGACCGCGTGTGCCACTACAGCCCCCAAGTTGTGGAATTTCTATACGGCATTGCGCTGGAAAAGCTGGAGTTTGACAAGCTGCCGCAAGCTCGTCAGAATAAGCTTCGCCGCAAAATCGAGGAGTGGATTCTCAAATTTTCTGGTGCCTGGTTCGTGGATCTCCAGGGTATAATGATCATTTTGCGCGTAGATAAGCCATCCTTGCTGTTGGGAGCTTCTTCACAAAGCAGGTATCCTTGTTAGGGGCCCGTCTGCATGAGCATGCTTCCATCTAGGGGTACATACATGGGACTCCCAATTTTTGAGGAAGACCCAGGAGACTCCGTGCATTGGAAAGGGTGGAGATTTCCCGGCCCTGGTGCGTAGCCTCGGCTTCAAGTACTACGTTTGCACCTTCCAGTTCCTGGTTTCATATGATTATATAGGGATTATAATGTGGTGATATAGGGGTTACATAGGGATTATACTCGGAATATATAGGGGTTGTATTCCTTTCTTCTCTGCTAATAGTTCCTAGGGCAGGGGAGGCAACCTTCCCCAAAGTTTTGGGCTTAGCATGGGACCTATGTAGCTCGAGCTTTGACGGTGAGTAGACTTCATTGGGCCCACTTGGGGTTCCATGTTGCTTTGTGTTGACGCGGTAGATGCTTAACCTGCAGAGTATTAAGACGAACTCCTATATGTATGGTTGAAGCCCTGCTGCCCAAAGTATGACCCTACTTTCCAAATTTCGGACGATCTCACCCTTGCATAACATACAGCCCAACCATGGCCGTAGTCCAGGAAACCCAACACCCTAAACCCTAAACTCTAAACCCTAAACTCTAAACCCTAAACTCTAAACCCTCACTAAACTCTAACCCCTAAACTCTATACCCTAAGCCCTAAACTCTAAAACCCTCAACTCTAACCCCTAAGCCCTACAGAATTCAAGGTTCAGGCTGTATCGGGATGACAGCCCCTTCAGCATCTTCCTGCCCAGCGACGATCAGGATAAGATTGGCGAATGCGATGTCTTGCCGTGGTTGATGAAGAGCCTTGCTCATGGTTTACGGTTTATGGTTCATGTCTTTAGGGGGTTGATACCCAAGATCCGGTATGACCCTCAGTACATTATACCTTGGGAAGCAGTAATTAGTGTATGAAGGTCATGCAGGATGCTTCATATCAACAGTAGCTTAACAATGGGGTGATAGCCAGGTCATGAATACGGCTGGTTCCAAACATGCACAGAATACGGTGAAGCTTGACGAATGACCCATAGCATTCCTGGTTCTTAGAAGGGAATGCGGCAATTACTCGGGATTCTATAGGGATCATGTTTGCTTTTTCCCTACTGAGAACCAATAAGTTACCTAATCTGTTTATAGCCTCAATTTCCCGGCCTCGCCTCAAACGGTGGGAACGTACAGTATTCTCACACGTTTTTGACGAAAAACAAAGGCCTCCACGGTAAAAGATTCCTTTTTGGTTTTCGGCCGCCTCACAGGTGCAATTCAACAACGCCCTGAGCCTGGCGACCTGTTACTTACAACCATGAAGCCCATGACTTTAGGTTCTTAGCTGGGAATGAGGGAATAGATTATAGGGATTATCTAGGGATTATATTCCCTTATTCCCTCCTACGAGCCAGCAAGATCATTTTGCCTATGACTTCCAATCCATTTTCGAACGCTCAAAAACTCAGCGGGCACATAGCATGAGCAAAATCACGAAAGCAACAAAAAACCAAGGCAACAACAAATTTCAATGCAGGTTTGGGGATGGATTGGCGGCATGGATGTACCGTTTTGTTTTCTTTGGGGGTGCCCTGGCCCTCAACCCAAGACCCTAAACCCTAAATCCTCAGCCCTTAACCCTAAGCCCGAAACCTAAGCCTCTCGTTGGAGGTCAACCCAAGACCCTAAACCCTATAGATCCTAAACCTTAATAAGCCCGAACCCTAAACCTTTTGCTGGAGATTTAAGTGTTCACGACCTCACTAATGCGCGTCCAACAGACGAAATCGTTCAGCCAGGCTGAACCCCGACCTTACGAAATAACATTTTAGGGTTCAGGGTTTAGGCTCAAGGGTTTAGAGTTTAGAGTGTAAGGTTTAGGGTTTGGGGTCAGGTAATACGGCTTAGAGTTCCTGTTTTAGGCGCAGATTGGGTTCGGGTGAGGTGCCAGTTCAAGATAAGCCAAAAGAAACATTTTTCTCATGAGACCTTCGGGAGTGCTATGAGTAGGATAAACCATAACTGATCTCTGAAATTGGCTCGCTACGTTCTAGGCACTCGCCCACCCTACGCCCCAACCCCCACTTGCAAACATCGGACGCATACCTAGGAAAAACATTGAGCCTTCAGGCATCGTCCCGCGCGCAAGAAGCCACAGTACAAGAAGCTTTGGGGCTTATTCATGCTCTGCCCTAGCAGCTAAGCCCTAAACAAGCCCAACCGAGGTTTGCCACGAAAGGGGAAGGCAAGCACCGGCTGATTGATGTGTGTCAGTCGGAAGGTCATTGACAGCTGATAAAGTAGGCCGACAAGACCGCCGGTTTTAAGAAGATAGTACAGTTGTTTATATGACCCCCAAGACTGAAGATCTCCTGGGTTCAAGGTAAGGTTTTCTGTCTTAGGGGTTTCGAATTTAGAAAACACAAGCTTCCCTCAACAATTAACCCTTGGAAGGCGTGGCTATAGATGTGGGGTCTGGTGATTCCGGTTCCTGCGCATGGCCACTCCTTAGCGAGGGCCATGTGGTGCACATGCGCGAGCCCAAGAATGTAGTAGGAATATACCTTCCAGGATTCCTATGTTCTTATTACATTTCCAATATTTGGGGTTCCTTGTTTGGGGGGACTCCGATTTAGAGTTCCTTTACAGAAGGGTGCGGGCTTAGGCTACTGCTCGCAGGATTGATATCTAAGCCTTAATAAGTGCTAATCCCTAAACCCTTCTAATCTCTAAAGAGCACATGTTGTCAAAGCGGTCAGGAGCTTGGAGGAGAAGGGACATGCATAGACTGGGTTGCTGTTAAGGAACTTAAATTAAGTGACCATAATGGGTATCTATAGTAAATAATAGGGTTTCCCCAATATAGTAACTTAATTTAAGTTCCTTAACAGCAACCCAGCAGATTGTCAGCCCCTGAACTCCATCTGACAGAAAACTTGCTCCGTATGGCTGTAATGATGAGGATTGTGTACCTCTAGTGGTTACCCTCATTGCTTGTTTCCTCCTCAGAGCAGACGGAGAATGAAATGGGTTTAGGGTTCAGGGTTTATTCTGGGTTTAGGGTTTAGGGTTTAGGATTTAGTATACAGGAATTACTTAGAGGTTGGTGCCGAGGTGATAATGTGAGGCCGGAACAAATAGAATAGGGTGGTGGGGTATATCATATTGTGATTCTGCAAGGGTTCTAAGCAAATAGTATGGCTGATTGTTGAGGCTTCAGTATGCAGAGGCCAACAGGGTGGAAACCATGCAGATGGGTTGTAGGCTATGTTTTACTCGTGGCGAAGGCTTTTGACAGTCAGGTTGAACCAGAACACTTTGCTTCAGCTGCTATACTATATAGTAGTTTCCATTTTCTTGTCCATTATCCCTTTATAACCCCAATATAACCCTGGTGTTACCTCAATGGGTATAGCTACAAGTCGCGAAGCTCATCAGCACATCAACGAAATACTCGAGCAACAGGGAACTAGACTCGGACCCCCAAGTTATAGTCCCCCTTAACTAGATAGAATATGAAGTTTAGGGATTAGGGTTTAGGGATTAGGGTTTAGGGATTAGGGTTTAGGGATTTGGGTTTAGGCTATAGTCCGCCTTAAGTAGATAGAATATGGGGTATATGCAATATATGGGGATCTTATTATAATCTACTCAAAGCCATGTTCTATATACTTAAGGGGGACTAGACATAAAAGGTCTCCTGTAGCCGGGGTCTTGCGCGCGCACAGCACTGAAATCAGACAATGCTGCATTTATTTTCGCAAGAATAAACAAACAGAGTAAACAAACCATCAAAGTTGCAAGACTTGAACAAGCTCCTCCCCACAACCTTCACGAAAGTTCATGAACTACATAGTGGAAACGAGAATCTCCGGAAGACACCATTGCCACTGTGGGGACTACATAGTGGAAACAATAATTTTCGCAAGACACGATTGATACTGAGGTTTGAGCCCGGCTACACCAATGCAGCAGAGCGTCGCGCGGCTGCTTAGTGTGACCGCGTGCAGGTTGGGGTGTATCTTTAAGAAGGGGAAGATATGAAATGAATTGCGCCGTATAATTAGATGCACAACACAATACCAAAAATTGGGGAGCTCCATAATTAGCTCAAAACCCTCAACCGGCTGCTATCTGTTCTCAGGCTGCAATGTAAGTTACCCACAGTCATCGAGGTTGGAAAATTATCCCTACACCCTAAACCCTAAACCCTAAACCCTAGTTGAACTGTTACTGAGAGGGGTTTTGGCGGGACAACACGCTCTTCTTTCGAGCTGCTTCTCTCCGAGTAGTGTAGCAAGTAAGGGGCCCTAAAGGGTTTAGGGTTTAGGGTTTAGGATGAATATCAAGGTTGCATTCCGCTTCATCCCACGGTACTAAGGGCCTTGGGGACTAACATCTAAACATGGCAGTTGGGACCCCAAAATATTCTAATCCTTATTTTAGGGACAACCTCAAAGGTACCCCCAATTTGGGGAAGCCCCCATATGGATGGTCCTTCTAAACCCTAAACCCTGAAGGGGGAAGGTTTGGATGCTGCTACAGTGAATACGAAAAATCCTGCATGACCCTACATGAGCCATAGTCTAAACTCCTTACAGGTGGGTTATATAGGGATTAGGGTTTAGGGTATAGGGATTATATAGGGGACTACTATAGGGGTTATTAAGGGGGATACTAGGAGTTTAGACTATAGCTCACATATCCTAAGCCTTGGGAATAATGATACTGTAGTATAGTTAGGTCATGCAGGATTTTTTGGTATCAACATCAGGACCCCGGCAAAGTCTTCTAAGAGTAGCGTGAGAAGATTTCAGCGTTAAGGTGGTCCCTTCAACGAAATATAGTGCGTCTTAAGTAGATAGAATCTGGGGTATACTATGGGGATCTTATTATGATATATACCCAAAGCCATATTCTATCTACTTAAGGGGGACTATAAGTGAAAGATTACAATCCCACTATGAACTGCTTCGTGGAGAGCTTCATTAATTAGAGTTCCAATTGCGGTTGTGCATGAAATTTATGTCTCAGTTGCAAGGTCCTGTTGTCAAGTAGCTTCCACTTTGTGTTGGAAAGCTCCATAAAAGACAACCACCATCACAAGAACCCCGTGCGGTTTCCCTTCCGAACCTCTGAGGTTTGAACTCCACAAACCGTTTGAGAAAGGTATCTACCGGGGTTTAGTAGGGAATAAGGGAATATAAACCAGTTATAGCTGTATATGATAGATTCCCATATTCCCCACTATGCCACAGTACGTAGTGTTTCCCTTGCCGCCAACTCATCATAAAACAAGGATTTTCACCCGGAGAAGCGCTTCCCTTTGGAACCACTGCCAGACAAGATAGATCATGACATCGTCAATCATGTGGTCTCATGTCTATTCGAATTGTGTTTAGGTTCCGTAACGGCAGGCTAGAATCAGGGGGGTCTAGCTACCCCAGCTCTTAAAATTAGAGCCCAATAAACGTTAGATGACAGTTATAGGGTCCTTGTTATAGGGGTTTTAGGGTTTAGGGTTCCCTAAATTCCAAACTTCTAAACCCTACATCCAGCAAGGCGAATTCATCCAACTGACTCTTGACATCAATGGCTGGAAGCGCAGGGGCTTCCTCCACGGCGCAGTACAAGCCAATGAGCCCTTCGGTGGCCAGCAGAGTATGTGGGATTTTCTGGAAGACCTCATGATAATAACATAGGTCCCTATTATATATATATATGTATATGTATATATATATATACACACCATAGCCCCTCAAGCTGTAACTGTAGCCCCTATAGTTGTGATTGTAAATCATTCCAACGCTGAAGCCCTCAGCTCTATAGCCAGAATCCTGGACAATTGACAGAGTGCAACCCAGCAATTTCAACAGAGCCCCATAGCTCAGGGCTTAGGGTTAGGAACCTAAAAGTGAGCATACCGGGGGTTTTTGGGGTTGCTTGAATGCCTTGGGTTTTGCTCAGATCCTGCAATTTGGATTGAGTGCGTTGGGTAAAGGGTTGCTCCTGCGAAGAGAGAGGGGCAAGAAGGTCAGCACATTTTTCTTTGCCAAGGCAAAGTTAGTCAGGAAAATACCCTCTCCCAAACTAACACGGAAGGGGCAGTAGTGTTTGCAGGGCTCAATCAGTTGGGGTTCCATTCTGTTCCTTCCCCAGACTGCGCATGCACCATGCTTTCATGTCTTCTTTCCCTACAAGCAAGAGGCAAACTCTGCATAAGGTACGTAAAAGATGTCTTCGAGTCCATTGACAACATCCATTTACTGAAGATAGATGTCGATGACCGGGAGAGCTACGAAGCCGTGTTTGCTGGTGTGGGTCCAATTTTGCACAAGACAGAGATTGTTCAGATCGAGATGCTTGCTGAAGAATCTCGGTTCGCAGTACTCCCGGGCCGAATGCTTGGCGATTGACGCGTTGCGTCGATGAAGCCCATGTATGGCATGGAAGTCTTTTCTGCTATGCATTCAGCTTCTTCCACACTTCGCATCAGACCTGTCCCGACTGCGAGAAGACCCCAACGTCACCCCATGATTCTGGTGTAGCTGTTTAATAAGAATTTTCGGTTCAGGTTCTGGGTGTCTAGGGCATGTACTAGCCCAGGAGATTGACAAAGCTGGTATGGTTTGGATCATGGAGACGCTGATGTCCTATGACTTCCTCATGTTCGGCTTGGAAGATGTAGACACGTTCCCTGGTTTCCAGCATGAAGCTTGGCCCTTGTTAAGCAAGCTGGGGTATTTTGAATGCAAGGGAACCAAACAGATTGTGTTCAGCCTCATCCTGCGTTAGTTCAGGATAGTCTTGGACGCCGATGTGTCAAGGGTGATCTCCGCTCTCGGATGCATTCAAAGGCAGTGCCTCACTCACTGGAAGCATGAGCTTTTGAGTTTGGCTGGGGGGATCCTACAGAAGTATGTAATAGCTCAAGAGCAGAACTGCATCGCGATGTGGTTGTCAAGAAGGCCCAAAAGTCTCCCACGCCGCTTAACGTTAACATTGCAAGCAGCACGCCTCAAGTAAGGTAGGGAACCCTAAGCCCTAAACCCTAAACGCCTAAACCCTAAACCCTAAACGCCTAAACTCTAAATCCTAAACGCCTCAAGTAAGGTAGGGAACCTGTAGCCTTTTACTGTATTTTATAGTTAAAGCACCGGGAAACCGCAAGGCTAACTTCGGAAAATCCCAAAATGTCGGACACCTAGGGGGGGTACCCTGTTTTTTGTAAAGCCTACATCTCCCTATATGTTCCTTATATATCCCCGTTGTATCCCCCTGTTTGTAAACCCATGCATAGTGTTATTCTTCAGCCTAATCTTCGCCCCCTTCAGGATACTGGCCATAGAAGCTTCAATTCATCTCAGGTGGAGCATGGCAAGGTGGCCTATGAATACGGCTTGGACGGCCCGCGGAACATTCGGATGCTTTCTGCCGGGTTGCACAGTAAGTTCTTTTTCCCTGTTTGGAAGGGTCCTAGGTTCTTGCTTAGCTACTGAGCTTTGCAAAAAAGTATGCCTTTTTAGTCCTGGGTTACTGGGGATCATAGTCTGAATTCTTCTTGAACCATAGTTTTGCTTTTGCTACAGGGAGACAGACTTAAGCACTCGCTTGCCAGCGTGTAAAACCAGCTGGGATAGGGTTTTAGAGGGTTTTAGTTTAAAGCAGGGGCTTCCTTAGGAACATGGGCCCGCGCATATGGGTAGCAATTCTCACCAAGAAAGCTGCAATCCCAAGCAACGGAGAGGGCGATTATAGTAGTTTTATGAGAAGAAGCTGATCTGATGTGGCTTAACCACCAAGAGCACTACGTGCAGGGATGAGGTGTCTGTTTACGCTCAGTCCCGAGCAACACTATCAGTACATAACCTCAGCCCTAAACACTACTATAAGTAATGAATCATCCTACCTCAAGCTCTACACCCTAAATCCGGAGCTCTAAAACACAAGACCCTAAATTCTACATCTTAAGCCCTACACCCTCAATCCTAAACCCTAAACCTAAACCCCAAACCCTAAATTCTACACCTTAAGCCCTACCCCCTAAATCCTGAACCCCAAACCCTAAAACCTTAAATTCTAAACCTTAAGCCCTAAATCTTAAATCCTATCCCCGAGCCCCTAAATTCTACACCCAGCTAAGGTTTCCCATCTGCAGCTGCGCAGGTGAAGCGGTGGGCAGAGGCATCGCGAGCTCTGATCCCTTGGCCCCTTGGTTGAACCCATGCGGTTCAGGGTTTAGGGATTTCGCCACCGGGCGGATCTGAAGCCTGTTGCAAAAGGGATTTAGGAGGGATTTGGGGTTTACGGATTTAGGGTTAAGAAATTAAAGGTTTAGGGATTTATGAGTTTTGCGTACCTGTAACCAGAATGAGATACAGCTTGGTAGGTCCCAGCACTCAATGAAGCCATAACAGATAGGGTCGCAGAATCTAAGTTCGCAGGCGTTGTTTCCCCGATGGCTTTCGCTTCATAGATACATGCTGCTTTGAGGGCTTTCAAATCTTAGAATAGTGCCTTTTTGCAGTTCAATTTTGTAGACTTACTGAGCTTCCGTCCTGACATTTGTCCCCGGGTATGGAGAAGCCAGGCAAATCCTAAAACCGCAGTCCTAAGCTGCACGCTTTGGGGTGTAGCTAAACCCTGAACCCAAAGCCCCATAACCCTGAACCTTAAAGCTGTAGGGTTTACTTGGGCGGATGAGTAAACCCTAAACCCTAAGCCTCCTAGACCCCCCTCAAAAGCCGAAACCAGGCATGCAATTGCCAGTTCGCTTTCTTCCGGAAGGGCTCTGCTGCCTTGAGTGACTGGGGCGTTTTAGGGGTAATGTTAACGCTTGCTTAGGGCTTGAAATGGGGAGGGTTTGGGTACCCCCAGCCTGCGATAATAAGGACCCAAGAAGAGTCATGTGATAGGGTTGGGGTTGCCAAAATCATCCCATCATTTTTGTGGTCTAGGCTGTCGAGTTCAGCCGCGATAGGCATGCACCTCGTAGAGCCTCAAAGCCAAGCGGTAGAAAACTAATGCAAAATAGTTCAAGTTTTGAGTTTAAGGTTGGGCATAGGACGACCTGTATGAACTGTAATCTAAACTCCCGAAAGGCTGATTATATAGGGGATTATACAGGGGACCAATATAGAGCTTATTAAAGGAGATACTAGGAGTGTATACTATATCTCATATAACCCCAATGCCCTGATATGTTCCACCTTCTTTTTCAGTGGTTTCGTCGGAGGACAGGTCCTTTGGGTACTATACATACAGTTGGCCTCTCTTGGCCTCGCAAGTAAGGCAATCTCACAGGCCTCTATCGGTCTTGTGATGCTGTCTGCGCCGAGCGCACTGAGCTCTGAAGGCAGTGTGTGAGAATCGGGAATGGAGGCCTGGCTTCGTATAGTGACACCTAGATTACCCCCAACAATGTTGTAGTCGTTTCTATTTTCTTTTCATTTCCGCATTCACTGCTTTTAATCAGCCAGTTGTGGTAGCTCAGGGGTAACTGTTCACAGGACTTCACGACTTTTAATTGGTTTCGCGGGACTGAAACCTAGGCAGATGAGGTTTGCTAAGGCCTTGTGTCGCGCGCTTCATGGCTTGGTGAGGGTTGGTGAGCCCTGAAGGAGCAGCTGTGGATCAAGATGCGCAACGCGCGACAGTTGAGCTGTTTCAGCGCGGTGGCCTGCGCATTATAACCTTCGCAGGTTGCATTCGCAATCCCGCGACGTCATGCTCGACAGACCGCGCCATTCAGCCTAGGGCCCATCACGCAGCACATTCCCACCCGACACCACGGTGAAGCTACAGTTGCGTCCAGTGCCTGTGAAAGCAGTCTACACAGGATGGATTTCGCTCAGGCAAAAAAAGGTGAGCAGCTTAATTATGCTTTGCAGACGGAGATTCTGTTGCCGCCCGGAGAAACATTGCATACTGTTTAAGCCTGAACTATTACCAATATTCTGGTCCTGGAATCCTTGTACGTTTATGGTACAAGGTACTTCAACAAGACTTGATTTTTTATTGGTAATTAGTTAGGCTCCTACAGTAACCCTTCCTTGCAAGCCTGATTTCTCAGGGCACCTCCCGAAGACGTATATAGCCATGAGCCAAGGGCCTGCTTTGATAGTCAAGACCGCCGAGGTATGTAGAATGGTGGCCCGAAATTCAGAAGAAATAACCAAGATTATTCTACATACCTTTGGTAGCGGCAAGCTACCAGGTTGTAATGAAAATGAAAATAACATAGAAAGTGGCATCATACAGAGGCTTATACGGATGAGAATGTAAGGTCCTCAATAATTGCAAACTTGCTGGTCCCAGATTCTTTTTTTACATAATGGTTTGTAGGGTCTCGTATGGTACTTGACATGATATTA